AAATGCTATTTATAATAAGACATATTATGAATCATGAATGTGTGCTAACAAAAATAAAAGACAAAAGACAAAGGCACATTATTTTGACTATTTGAGACACTAAAACCAGTTAGGAATCAATATCGTGGGCTCTGCAGTAAACTGGGTCAAAATGCTACATTGGAAGCTTGCAGGGCTTGCTCTTTGCTTCAGGTGAGCTGGCACACCTGAGGTGGGAGTGGGGGACCGGATAGAGAGACATTATTAATTCTAACTCTTTCACCCTATGGTCAGATTATTTCTATTTCATCACTAGCCAAGCCTTCCTTTTAAAGGTGCTGGAATATATTCTGATAAAATAAAAATGAGCTTGTTGGCCATCACATAACATGACAAGAGTATACATCTGTCCTTCCCTTCTCCAATTCTCAAAAGTAACTGAGAAGGCTATTCTAGAAGGAATTAGAGTCCATACTTACCAGAAAAGGAAGCCAGGTCTACATAGGGCTGAGAAGCACTGAGACCCCAAAGCAGCCAGTGAGTGAGGTTCAAAATAAAGTACCTTGGCCTCCCTTAGCCGCAAACATTTCCATATTTCCCCAGGTCTGAAGAAAAGACTGTTCTCTGTGAAAAGGCAGAGACCCAAAGTTCTCTGGAGTTCAGGGTTCAGGTCTGGCATTTCTAGGAAGAATCTCAGAGATCTGAAAGATGCACATGGAATCTGGGAGCAGCTGGACATCTTTCGAGGCTCAGGATGTGAGTGTATATGAATGATGCTCCATGATAAATGACCTGGTTCACCCATCAGCAAGTCAGTGATTTTTCTTTTTCTTTTTTGTTTTTTTTTTAAGAAAACAAATACAGAATCCTGATTATTTCACCAACTATAAAGATATGCAAGCCAGGAGCATCAAATTCTTCAGTAATTGTTCTCAATTTTGTCTTTCAGGGCTGATCGCCCAACAAAACAGAACAAATTTGAGGGAAGACATCTTTGATGGATTGGCTGCTCTGCTGGCTGTTTTGGTGGAATGGGTCGTAAATATTAACGGCTGACAAATGTGCCATGTTGCACCTGTGTCGTAGAAACACCCAGACTTCTACCACTTCATTCCTTTGATAGACATCATCCCTTTCTCTCCTGACCTTGCTCAGATGAATCTATTTTATCCTCTCAGAGGACTGGGTTTTAGTTCCCAGCACCCACATCCGACAGCTCATAGCATCCTGTAATTCCAGTTCCAGGGGATCTGACGCCCTCTTCTGGACTCTATGGGTATACCTGCACTCACATGTAGATACTTACACAGAGAATCTAAACAGACTCACAAGTAAAAATCAAAACAAAAGAACCAAAACCTACAAAAAAAAAAAAATAGCTGGGCAGCAGTGGTGCATGCCTTTAATTCCAGCACTCGGGAACCAGAGCCAGACGGATCTCTGTGAGTTCGAGACCAGCCTGGTCTACAGAGTGAGATCCAGGACAGGCACCAAAACTACACAGAGAAACTCTGTTTCAAAAAAGTATATATATATATATATATATATATA